TATTCTGGGCTCCCACACCCTGCTCAGCTCCATTGGTGACCTGCACCGCCAGCGCCGCAAGGTGAGCTTCGTGGCCGCCCCAAGAGGGCACGCAGCCCAGGCGGCACCTCCTGCCCAGGCTTGGGCCTCAGTGGCACATGGCACCCCCCACTTTAACCACCTGCTTCTGTTCCCCCCCTTCTCCTAGATCCTGGCCAGAGTGTTCAGCCGCGCCGCCCTGGAGAGCTACCTGCCACGGATCCAGAAGGTTGTGAGCTGGGAGCTGCGGGGCTGGTGCATGGAGTCGGGCTCCATCGCAGTTTATTCCTCCACTAAAACCTTAACTTTCCGCATTGCAGCTCAGATTCTGCTGGGGCTCTGCCTGGAGGAAAAGCAGTTCAAGGACCTGGCCAAAACTTTTGAACAGCTGGTGGAGAACCTCTTCTCCCTGCCCCTCAACATACCCTTCAGCGGGCTGCGCAAGGTACTGCTGCCTGACCTGCTCCCTCTGCCTGGGGACAGGGGCCCGGGCCTCAGTGGCACAGACCCCCTGTCCCCAGGCCCACCAAGGGGCACTTCTGATGGGCCAGGACATCTGCAGCACCCCGTTCCGGGTCTGACGGCCTGATGTCTTGCCCACCCCAGCCGTCTCCCCCTCTCTCTGCACTTCTCAGCTGCTTATGGTTGGCTTCCAGCACCTCTGGGCAGTGACTCCAGCTCATTGCACAGCGCAGGGCTCCTCTCCTCCCTCACCCCGTATGTTGCCTCTGTTGGCTCTGGTTAGTCCATCATGTCTGGTCCTGTCCCATCTCATCCCGCCTGGATGGGATGAGGTAGGTCTGTGGGCTCAATAAGGACTCTGTCTGTGGCAGAGGGGTCTGTGGGCATGAGCACAAAGGCAGGTGGGCACAGCACACCTCAGGTTAGCACTCCCTGTGCACCTCAGGGCAGGCCGAGGACTTGAGATCCTCTTATGGTCCTTGGTCCCTTGTATCCCAGCAGCGGAGAGACAGCGAGGGGTCCTGGAGGGGAACATGGCAGAGGGACAGTCTCCTGCCTCTTTCAACCTCCAGTTTCTTCCCTTCTGCCTTGCCCCTCTTTGCCTGCGTCTCCACACTTCTGCTTTAGGTATGAGTCCTGTGTCCCACCCCTCCTCTCCCATTTCAGTCTGTGTTCCCTCCTCTGGCTTTGGGTTCTCCACCCTTACCATAGATGAAGTCTCCTGCCCCTTTTAGCCAGATCTAGCCCAATCCCATTTCCGCCATGAGCTCTGCCCCACTGGATCATCTTACCCAGCCAGTCCCAGTTCTCCCCCAGCCTCCCTACTGCTCTTCTCCACCAGTTCAAAGCTCTTGTTTTCCCTGTCCAGTTTTCCTTTGCAGGTTGTCACCAGTGTGAGCTTTCACCCCCCATCCTATCCCTCGCTGCCCTCTCTCAGGTCAGCCACAGCCTGTCTGGTCCCAGACCAATCTTCAACTTGCATTTAGGTCCCCTCGTCTTCCAGCTTGCTCCCTGCCCCTGTATCCTTTGTCCAGTCCTTCCCACCTCAAATCCCAGCCTTTGTATCTTCTTCCCATCATCTGGTCATGGCCATTTTTCATCCCAAATCTCTGGTCCTTCTGGCTTTTGCAGGAGGCATGTTGATACACAGTCACACACTCTGTGACTCCATCCATCCCACTTTGCAAAGAGATTGCCGATCACTTCACTTGCTGAGATCTTACCTAAATGTTTTGCTGCACAGCAGTGCAACACAACTGGAGATGAGCTGGGTGTGATTAATGTGTCTTTATCTACTATACCCTGGTAGAGCCACTCCTTTGTTCCTGTCTCAGATGTGCCTTGCTGCTTGGACTCAGTTTTATTAAGTTACCTCTTCTTGTCCCCTTGGACAAGCTTCTTTCAGACCTGACACGACCGTGGGTTTGTTCAGCGCAGATGCCTCTGGACTCAGTACCGTGGGTTTGCTGCTGTCTTTTCCTCTCAGAGTGTTTTTTAGGACTTGTCATATTTGATTCACAACAGCAAGGCAACAGAATTTGCAGCAGTTCCCCCCAAACTGCTGCCTCTTGCAAGGCTCTGGGGCTGGGCAACAGTTTAAACAGTTCTTGCTGTTACAGATCCTGGGATTAAGGATTGCCACACGTGGGGTCCCCCGGTCTCTCTGGAGAGGGGGGCGGTTCCTAAGGCTCTCCTGAACTGTGTCTGCCTCCCGCAGGGAATCAAAGCACGGGACATACTACATGAGTTTATGGAGAAGGCTATACAGGAAAAACTGCAGAGAAACAACCCAGAAGATCACAGCGATGCTCTGGATTTCATAATAAACAGTGCCAAGGAGCACGGCAAAGAATTCACCATGCAGGAGCTAAAGGTAAGGAGAACCCCCCTTCAGTGTCCCTTCTGACTCGGAGGCTGTTTGAGAGACCTGGGCTGAGGAGCAGGTGGTGGGGACCCACCACCAGCTGCTGGCTCCTGCCCTCCTCTTACCAACTCCGAGGACACCATCTCCAGCCCAAGCGAGAAAACTTGGACTCGGCATGCTCATATGCTCTTGTAGGATCGTGCCTCTTTGCATTAGAAGAGAGCTGGTATTTAAAAAGGGAATAAATGCCTCTTCTACCTTTCCTCTTCACAGCCACCAGGCTTCAGCCGGACTTAGGATGCTGGTAGGGTTACGTGGCTGTGCTCAGGCTCTGTGTGTACGTCAGTGTGCACTCCAAGATACTATCTTGGAAATATTTAGAGCTAGTTATGTGCTCCTCAAACATCCCTCTGCATCTGGCATAGCGCGGCATGTAGATCATGTCACCGTATTCCTCAGGGCTGCGAGCCCAGAAATCTCTGAGACAATATACCAAAATGGGTTCAGGGATGGAATGATGGATTCCGGGTCATTCCATGTCACCTTGTCATTAATTAGATCATCTAGCTTGTGGATTGCTATGATGCAACATGATGAATCGCTGTGACTTAGCGATGAACTCAGTAGTCCTTATTGAGCCAAAACTACCAACTGAATGTGAAGAGTATTTTGCCAAAGATCTTGGGAAAAAATTGTCATTAGTACTGCATCATTCATAGCTCCAGGTCACTTAGTGTCAGTGAATGACAGATGACACTGCATTTATATAACAAGTTTTGAAGCAGTTTTGCATGGGTACAGCAGCTAAATATAGTTTAAAAGTATTTGAATATAGTTTAAAAGTATTAAACATACATAGTTTTACCATTTTTTTAGGTATTTAAGGAAAACTATGTGAAGACTAATGTTTTATAAATAGTTTGTAAAAGTGTAATCTCTAAACCTAAAATATTTGAAAGACTTTACAGCGACTATTATTATTATTTTTATATATATTTTTATTGGAAGACTTTACAGCGACTATTATTATTATTTTAAAAAAATAATTGCCAGATTCAAAATGTGATTGATTAAAATTGATTAATCTCTGTTAGTATTCACATGGATATTAGACACGAATAATTACGTGATCTCTCATCATGTCGCTGGCTCTGACCACAAATGGAATAAGGGGATATTAAACATAATATGGAGTGACATGGCAGTGACCTCAGGCCAGCTGATTCAAATGATAATATATTCATATGCTGTCCTGTAGCTTTACAGTTAGAAAATTTCTACCTTGTCTGTATTTAACAAAATGACTTGCAAACTGAACTGCTTATGCTTGCAATTATGGCAATATTCTCCACTCTAATAAAACAGTAGTAGAGCTCTCATCCAGTGAAATGGTGTAATTGGATAAAAAGTCCAAAGCTGTCTCAGAGTCATGGATATATCTGACTTTGAGAGACACTCTAAACACTGGCACACACTAGTTACTAATTTGCTTTTTTGTTCAAATGATTTTGAAGGACTGTTTTCCCAGAAATTTTCCAAAATACACTGCTGACATGAACTCAGCAGGACCCTTAAATGTAAAAGTCGTTAAAAAGATACCTTTTTGCCAAAAGTACTGTTTTAAAACATTTAAAACCTTGGAAGGATTAAAAAAAAAACCCCATCCTACATAACAGTGCTGTCACTGGCTGGATGGATGGCATGGTAACGCCGCCAGTCCTGCCTCCCAGGACGGGGCATCGGGCAGTAGCACAGGCACGATACTGGTGAAGCTGTGGGAAGATGCTGCCTCCCAGTCACCAGCTATGTTGGCCTTGTAAGAGCAGGGAGGGAGTCAGCAGCTCGGTGTCACAACTTGCGTAGCAGCACTGTCAGAGGTTGATGCAGGGAGTCATAAGGGCTGTTATTTCAAGTCACAGAGCCTGCCCTAAATTCCTTGCATGTTATTGAGATGTCTTGGGGTTTAATTGCAAGTGGTGGAAGTGAGAGATTTCTTTTCATCTGGGTCTGCTACCTTGTGAATGTAAAAATTCTTGCTAACGCCTGCAGGAGGTGTGATAGGGATCGACAGGGATCTGTTATTTCAGAGGTTTTATTTCAGCTGAAAGATACCCTTGAGAGCTGCACTTTGGCAAAAGCCTCTAGTCCGGCCAATATATGGCGCTGGGGACGGTAGCAAAGAGTAATCCTTGTTACATTACCCTTGACCTTACCAGACTTGGCTCCAGGTACCTTCAGGCTTCAGGTGTCCTTCCCTGTGTTTTTGGCTTCATCTCTCCAGAAACCGGTTGTGTCGGAACAATTTAAAATCCAGACACATAGCTGTGTGAAAGGAAACTGCTCTGTTTCCCTGGGGGGTTTTGCTCCACTTTGCCCCTGGGCTGGAGCGACTAGTGCTCGGTAGTGCCAGCCGGGTCCCAGCCCCTCCCAGGGTGGCAGCTCCCTGTGCTCCTCCCTCGGGCTTCTCCTGTGGCTTTTGGGTCTGGCCTCCGGCCTCAGCGCTCTCAGCCCAGTGCTACGGAGCTGCTGGCACCTTCAGATGGTGCTGTAAGTTTGAGCATTATGTTTGCTGTCAGAGGTGTGACATGCCATGACCCAGCTCCGGGCAACCCTTAACTTTCGGAAAAAATTTCCAGAAGTTGATCACAGGGTGCTGCGAACAGCCCACAGCAACGTGGCATGTGCTGTGGGGGGCCGTATAGATCCTGCAGACAGTCCTGGAAAGATTGGGAGGCTGCGTGGGGATCCGTGAGCCGGGACAAGGCACGTGTTGCGGATTTGACTGTGCTGTGGTCCATCTGAGCTGATTAACCTCCTAACTTGTTATGGACACATCTGCTATGGAGCTATCAGGAACACTGCTGTGCTTCAGGGTGTAAAGCTTGAAAAGCGAGCAAGTCCTTTGCCTGCATCCCTGCGGGAGACTCCCTGCCAGCTACAGCACCTCCCGGGCTGAGCTGCTATAGCAGGGAGGTCTTTCTGCTTTTACTCTATTGGTTTGAGTCCCTTCCCAGACAAGCAAATGGTCAATTATAACTGGAGATGGATCAAATGCAACCCATTTTAGCTGCCAGCACATCTAGGATTTCTGCATGAACACACAGCCTCATAACCCCTGGCTGGGCAGAAAGGTAAAAGCTGGGCACAAAGGGGAATTGGCAGATGAATGCTTGAAATGAACTTCATTCTGTATGCTAAAATGCATGTTAAAATGCTTCTTTAAAATTTGTAAATCTTTGGAGGAAAGCTCAGAAGAGCTGGATTAGAGGTGATGTGTACTCATCTCAGTTGTGTTTCTGCATCAGTCACTTGGCAAGTGGATGTCTAGTTAGTACAGAAATGGAAGAGCAAGGGTGTCTTGTTTTGGTCCCTACCAACGCAGTGTGGGTGCAGGTTTGTGGAGAGCAGAGGGGGGGCCAGGGCCCTCTGCACAGGGACAAAACCTGCAAAAGGTGAGAACAGTCTGAATCACAACTAGTTTAAAATGGCATTCAAACTTGTCACCTTCCTTCCTCTCCCAGGAGTCAGCGATTGAGCTCATATTTGCTGCTTTTTTCACCACGGCTAGTGCCAGCACCTCTCTGATCCTCCTGCTACTGAAGCACCCCTCAGTGATTGAAAAAATAAGGCAGGAGCTGATGTCCCACGAGCTGTACCAGCAGTGTGAGCGCTGCCCTGTGGCACCCTGCCCGGACACCCTGACGGCCCAGAGCAGGGACAGTGAGAAGCCACTTCTCCGCCCCACGGCCAAAGATGCTCGCGAGGACCAGAGCCAGCCCCCAGGCCCAACGGAGGAAGGTTCTCCCCAGCCCCATGCCCCACGGGAGCCCACCCTCCCCCAGAGCAGTCCCTGTGCTGGTCCCCAGCTCCGAGCGCCGTCAGGGCAGAGCTGTCACTGCCCCTCGGACATAAGCCTGGAGAAGCTGAGCCGCCTGCGCTATCTGGACTGTGTGATTAAGGAGGTGCTGCGGGTGCTGCCCCCCGTCTCCGGAGGCTACAGGACGGCATTGCAGACTTTCGAGCTGGATGTAAGTGCCTCGCACGCCAGCGGGCTGCTAGGGAGCCGC